TTGATACTTTAGGAATGTGAAAACTTTAAAATATGACTATTATGACTTCCACCCGACACCCCCCTGCACCCCACACTGCCCCCAGGAAAAGTATCATCTTCCTCTGTATTTGCACACGACCTTAAGATATTGTGTGATCTTTCCAACAATATATGTTGTGTACATCAAACAAAATCGGAACAGCGTTTGTGATCAAGTTTGCGCGGAGGCACGCGACTCAGCAAGAACACGAAAAACGATGGGATAGAAGAGCAACACGAAGCACGGAACGTCATGGACGATGATAGAAGATTTAGCCGATGCAAACCACGAAGTGTTTTACGTAGCGTGAAAGATGGAAGTGCACGCAGCCATGGAAAGAACAGAAGAACGAGAATATGACGGGAGCGTACGGGCCACGGAAGGGAACTAAATACATAGACACCCCAGCATGCTGAAATGCACGGCTACGGAAGAGCACGCAACTTCGAAGCCACTGTAGAGCACGTAGCGGTAAGAGTGCACGGACAGTAATTCTCCCATAGCACCACGGTACAACACGGAGCACAGTCGACCGACCAAACGTGAAAACGCGATGTACCATAAACGGAAGATCATCCGAGCATTGGAGCCCGATATTAGGGTAGAATCGGAGCTCACCGAGTCCGACAGCACGACACTACGGTAGCTAACGATCTCACGGACGACATACCAACCGCAACATCGCAAGCTAACACGGTAGCATGGACTGAGCCACTAAGCCATAGAGGAGCACAGCCACAGGAGCTATAGACGGGAGATCTTTGAGCCACGGAGCACGATACCAGCGTAGAAGCTCAGCTCCCCGAGCCACGGAGGACAGTAGCACATTAAAACTCGATTGCACGGACGGCAGACCAGCCACGAAAATCACGGGGGTGCTTGGGGTGACCACGATTGCACACCGTGGAGCACGAAGCCCATGTAGAGCACGATAACACGGGCAACGCAGATGCACTACGCGAGCACAATACCATAAATACCATTACTACACCGCGATTGCTCCATAGCGTCGTAACGCGGTCGATGGAATCTTACCAGGAGAGCGCGATACACGGGCGACGGAACAACACGACTGCGTGGAGGCACCAAACCACGGATTAGGACCCTTCAGGTAGAGTACTTGGATGGAAAACCAACGACCACAAAAGACTATGAACCACGAAACCAGTGCAGCCCCCGTAAACGTTTGAGATCAGGAAATAGTTAGCATCCACGAAAGAGGGTCATACTACTGAAGAGCATGAGCCCAAGAGAGAGGGTCCATAATTACCAAGCATCATGGACCACGGGTGAGCAGGAAACCACGATGCCGGGAAGATCACATAAGATCGCAGGCCATTGAAGAACATGACTACAACCTGTAGTACGGATAACCGAAATGTACCAAATCACGATATTGTACGGGTCCACATGATACTACGGAAAGGCAAGTGGTTAAATACACGATGCCAAGATCTACGGGGTGAACCACGCTCTCAAAACACGCGACACCAAGAAGCACTTAAATTTGCGGCCACCTCATCTACAACAAACCATGCCACTCCGCCGCGTAGCGGCGGCGAACGGCTAGTCTTACCCCTCTAGTGGAGTGTGCTCTGCGTCAGTCCGTCAGTCCGTCCGAGGGTAGGGTTCTAAAATGTAACGCCAATACGCGCGTTCTACTGGCTGCCGAGCGCAGCGAAGGCGGCCTCGATTCGCTAAAATTGCAATATGTGGTGTACATATTATATGTGGTCTACACATCGTACTTAAATGCACCGTTCAAAATTCATTTTGCCCCCATTTTCAAAACGGAAGCCGCGGAACGCCACGTTACTCAAGGTACGCTGCGTGTATGCATGTTAGTTTACATTAGTAGCTAGCAAGACACACATACACAGATAGTCCGAGGTTCCTGGGGCTGCTTAGGGGGTAGCTTATAACTTGCGGGATTTTATCCTGCAAGTAGGTAGCCGTGCTATGGGGATTTAGTTCCAGAGCCCTCTGGGTTCTTGGGGCTTTATCCCACCGCCCACTCTGCGCGAGAGCACATTTGGCACCTGGTCTATTGACCGCAAACCCGACAGCGAACCAGTTGAGCCGGTCGTTAATGGTTATTGATGGGCACGCACATTGCGTGCGTGCAGTTGGTCAGGAGGGGTACCGTAACTGGCCTCTTTTAACCGACAGATGGGATGGGGGCTGTCATAGCCTATCAATAACCAGCCTTTGCAATTAACGACCGCCTTTTGGCAAAAGGATATCGCATCTCAAGCTACAGTACTATCCGGGGGCCCAACCCTGAAGATTCGACTGCACAATTTGCAAACTAAAACCGCTCCGGGCCTCACGGCCCGTGACTGTGGGATAAGTGATCGGAGATAACCTTGATGGGGGCAAGCAATCCCGGGTAGTACGCGTATTCCAACACACTACTCTATGAAAACCTACTGCTACGTGCGGTGTACTTAGACATTGTCTAACGCGTCACGTTTACGTGTTCGCAGAACTATGGTTCGGAGTAAGCGAAAGAGGACGCGCGAGGAACTCGAGGAGGCCCTGCACGAGAACGAGCGCATTAACGCGACACCCATGCGAGAGGAAAAGGATGCACGAAAACGACGTCAGACCAAGCGCAGAAAGAAACGATACGACTTGAACAAAGAGCTGAAGGCCCTCAGTGTGCATCAAGAAGCTACGGCGGTTACGGAATTTACGGAAGGTCAAGCCAACGTTATTGAAGAGCGGGAGGAAAAGACAGAAGAGTCCGATCCTGTGCTACTTCAGCGCCGGTTTGCGGCTGAAATGGAGGCGGCGTACCAAGCTGAAACTGAGGATACGGCTTTATTTACAGTACCTGTCGTATCTGGATCAGCGGATCGAGAAGATGTCCCGGTCTCGGCTGCGCAGCGAGCTCGCGACAAAAGAGCTAATAGGACACTGTCTCAGGCAGATCGCGAACGCACACGCGACGCACAGCGAGCTCGAACCAGGCGCATTAATATGACACTATCTCAGCGTGATCGTGCGAGGAAGAAAGACGCTGAGCGCAAACGTGCCCGAAGAGCTCAGTTACGCGGAGAAGAGCTTCACGAGCAGCGGGAGCAGAATCGACAGCAGCAAACAGCACACAGAGCGGAGCTAAGGGAGCCAGACCGGGAAGCCGTACGCGGTCGAGACCGCCTGCAACATGCGAGTCGACGGGCACAGATGTCGGGACAGCAACAGGAGCATGCACGCGAGCTTAACCGTCAACAACATGCGCATTGGCGAGCAAACCTGTCGGATCAGAACATGGTGGCTGAACGCGAGCTAAACCGACAACGGCATGCTGATCGACGAGCTGAGCAGACACAAGACGAGCGTCAGTACGAGCTCGAGCGGGTGCGCACTAGACGACAATGTGCCCGTCATGGACATGCTCTTATTTCCCTCGAAGACTTCGACGCATCAAAGATTACGGGCTACGACGTCGTCAATGGTCGACACAAGCTCCCGGCTACAACGATTTGTCCGATCTGCAATGCTTGGAAGTGGCCTGGGGAGTCTGCGATATCATGCTGTCTCGCAGGCAGGGTAAATCTGCCTCCACTGCACCCCGCGCCACGGAAGCTGCTTCAGCTGTACGGAGATCCCGAGTTCCGCCGTCAAATTCGTGCTTACAACCAAGCCTTCGCGTTTACATCGATTGGTGCTTCGTGCTCAAACCGATCGTTTCAAAATGTGCATCAAGACGAGAGCGTTGCGGGTACACACGGGGTGTACACATATCGCATTCAAGGGGCTATGGGGCACTACCTAGGATCTCTCCTCCCCCACATAGACCGTCGGACAGGCGCGCGAGTAGCACCCAAGTTTGCGCAGATCTACATTGTGGATCCAGACATGCAACGCCGCGCGGAGCGACGTCTTGGTATATTCGCGGATCTGGATCGTGTTGCACTACTAGACATCGAGAAAATGATGGCAGAGCACAACCCATTAGCGCAACGGTTCCTCCACTTTGGGCAGCAAGTGCGTCAACACAACACGGAGACTCCAGTAGACTTGGTCTTCCGTCTGCATGATAACTCCTCGCGACCAAGGACGCATAACCGCCCCACTGTGTCTGAAGTGGCTGCGACTCTCATTGAGGATGGCAACCTGGCTCAGCCTCGGGATCTACTTCTCTTTACACGCTATCAAAGGCTGCTACGTTTGTATGAGACTCACGCCGATTACGATCCACTCCAATACCCGCTTCTCCTTCCATATGGAGAGAAGGGCTGGACCTACACAGACGAGTTCGCGAATGGTGCTGAGTATCGAAACAAGAAGGCGATGTCGCTTCGTGAACACGTCGCGTTCCGCCTTCATCAGAAAGTGGATGATCAGTCCGCTCTCCACCAAGGTGGGCGTCTATTTCAACAGTGGTGTGTAGATCAGCGTGCAAAATGTGAGCAAGAACAGCTTCGCTGGGTGGCCGACAATCAGAAAATACTACGCGCCGATCAATACAGGGGTGTTCAAGACGCTTTGCTCAATGAGGATACTTTGGCTCTGGCGGAAGGAGAAGTGCTGCTGCCGGAATATGACCGGGCCCAGAACAGATTGGCGCACCCGGACCGGGACGGAGGCAGTAGAGCACGACCAACCCACTTTCTTAATCAGGTTGGCAAGCGTATCATACTACCGGCTTCGCACCTGGGTAGCCCGCGGTCCATGTACAAGTCGTATCAAGATTCGATGGCAATTTTTCGGGAGTATGGACGGCCCGACGTCTTCCTGACGGAAACGTGCAACCCTAAGTGGGACGAGATTCTTGAAGCGATACCTTCCGATATCCAGACAGCTCAAGATCGACCAGACATCGTGGCTCGCGTGTGGCAGCAGAAACTGCAAGCAACGCTTGACGATTTAAACCAAGGCGTTCTGGGACGAGTGCGCGCGCGGATTTACGTTGTCGAGTTTCAAAAACGAGGCCTCCCCCACGCTCACGTACTGGTTATTTTGGCTGACGAAGACAAACCTCGAACGCGCGAGATCGTAGACAAGATGGTATGCGCTGAGATCCCAGATAAGGATACAAACCCTCAGCTGTATGAGACGGTCATGTCATGCATGCTCCATGGTCCATGCGGGCCTGCAAACCCTTCCTGCGCGTGTATGAAGGACGGCAAGTGCACCAAAGGATATCCGAAGCCCTTAGCAGAAGTTACACAAGCCAATGCCAATGGATATCCAGTGTACAGACGACGTCGACAGCAAGAAGGTGTTCTAAAGTTCAAAGGCAGAGAATACGACAATGCTACGATCAACCAGTGGGTTGTACCGTACAACCCGTACTTATTCCAGAAGTACAACTGCCACATCAATGTCGAAGTGTGCACGGATATTACTGCGGTTAAATACCTGTACAAGTATGTGTACAAAGGACCCGACATGGCTATACTCACTGTGGAAGAAGTCCGAGGAGGGCAGCAGAGTGCGCGTCGAGAACCAAATGAGATTCTACGTTTCTTGAGCGCCCGGTACATTTCTCCGGTGGAAGCTTGCATGCGCCTGCTCGATTTCACAATTCAGGGGAAAACCCATGCGGTGACACAGCTGACGGCTCATCTCGAGTCAGGCCAGACAATTTGCTTTCGCGAGACGGAAAACCCGGAGGCGGTTTTGGAACGTGGTAGTCACACGATGCTGACCAGATTCTTTGAGTTGTGTGCGAGTGAAGAGCCTCAGAATCATATTGCCAGGACGATGTTGTATCAGGATATCCCCAAAGAGTTCTGCTGGAAAGCGCCGGAGAAAGGGCAACCGAAAAGGTGGGTTCGCCGGAAACAGTATCAAGCTGCTGTTGGTCGCATGATTCACGTGTCTCCTCGAGATATGGAGCGGTTCTACCTTCGGCTACTGCTCTGTCAGCGTAGAGGTCCAACGTCGTTTGAAGACTTGAGAACGGTTAACGGAATTGTCTGCCCAACATTCCAAATTGCGGCGCGGGAGGCTGGCTACTTAGAGAATGACAACGAGTGGGTTTCGTGTTTGAGGGAAGCGGCTGAGTTCCAAATGCCGTATCAACTACGCCAGCTCTTCGTCACCATTCTGGTGTATTCAGCTCCAGCAAATGTTGGTGTTCTATGGGATCGGTTTTTCGCGGATCTTTCCCAAGACTTCGCACGCAAACATCAGGCTTTGATGGACCCCTTCAAGTCGGCGTTGGTCGAATTTGAAACGCTGATGAGCATTCAAGAACTACTTCAAGCGAGTGGGTATGCGGTAGCTGACTTCGACGAGCTTCCTCAGTTGGGGTCGTTCCCAACATTGATTCGTGAAGCGCTTCGCCAAAACGGATTACTTCGACGTGAGCTCACTGGATACGATGCGTCAGCTTTGGAGGCGATTGTAAACACAGAAGATCAGCTAAACGAAAGTCAGCGGGTGGTTTACGACCAGATTATTGAAGCGGTTGAATGCCCGGAGGAAGGCAAGAAACTATTTTTTGTTGATGGCCCGGGTGGTACTGGAAAATCTACACTGCTTCGAAACATACTGGCCAAAGTCAGACTCTCGGGGAAAATCGCCATCGCTGTGGCGTCTAGCGGTATTGCCTCGCTCTTGCTCATGGGTGGTAGGACAGCTCATTCTATATTCAAGATCCCTTTGAAATTGAACGAGAGCTCGACGTGCGGTATCAGGAAGAACTCCCACATTCAGGAGTTGATTAAGCATGCAAGTTTAATTATTTGGGACGAAGAACCTATGGCCCATCGCCACGCATTCGAGGCAGTAGACCGAACACTGCGGGACATACTTGACAACGACACCGAGCCTTTTGGGGGGAAAGTGTTTGTACTTTCGGGAGATTTCCGCCAGATTCTCCCGGTCGTTAAGAATGGAACACCCGTCGAGACAATTGACGCTTGCCTCAAGTCGTCTAGGCTGTGGCCCCAATTCCAGACGTTCCGTCTTACGGAAAACATGCGAGTGCGCACAGCTGATACTGCAGACACTGCTGAGGAAATGGCTGCGTTCTCCGAGTTCCTGCTGCAAGTCGGGGAGGGAAGGCATGATGTAAACCCTTCCCTAGGAAACGATTACATGAAGATCCCGCGCGATATGCTGATTGAGAATCCACCTGTGCCTGACGATGAGGACCAGGAAATTCGTCCGGTCGTTATTCCAAGAGGCATGGATCGGATCATCGACGAGATGTATGGCGAGATTAATAACCCCGAGGTTGCTACCGACGAGTATTTCGCTAACCGAACGATCCTCACGACCACGAACGCAATCGTGCACCGCATCAATGAAGCGGTGACCGATCGATTAACTGGACAGGCGCGGGAATACATGTCTTCCGACTCTGTACAAGACGACGGTGACGGCAATTTCTTCGAGCAGGAGGTACTCCACTCGATGAATATCAGTGGAATGCCTCCCCACAAATTGACCCTCAAGGTAGGAATGCCTATCATGATGATGCGGAACCTGAATCCAGATCTAGGGCTGTGCAACGGAACACGGCTTCGAATTGTGGCCCTTAAGCCACATGTCATCCACGCCACAGTTATGACCGGTGAGCGACAAGGGCAACATGTGTTGATTCCCCGCATTGTTTTCATCAGTGACGGAGACATTCGGAGCTTTCCGTTTCATTTGAGACGCAAGCAGTTTCCTGTCCAACCGGCCTTTGCGATGACGATTAACAAGGCGCAAGGACAAACGGTGCAGTACTTGGGGCTGTATCCTGCTACGCCTTGCTTCTCCCACGGGCAGCTGTACGTTGCGATGTCGCGAGTTACTTCAAGATCAAGATTCAAGGCGCTGGTCGAGTACCCAAAGCTGGAGGAGGAGGATGGGGTCTACGCCCAGAACATTGTCTACAGGCAGATCTTTGGTTCGGAGTAGGAATGTTCAATTTCATATGCATTTAGTACATAACGTTTACATAAAACATGTTTACGCCGGAGCGCAGCGAAGGCGTGAGCCCATTTCCCCTGGGACTACAGCCTGCCACCTCCGCCGCGTAGCGGCGGCGAACGGCTAGTCTTACCTCTCTAGTGGAGTCTGACGTGTGTCTGTCCGTACGTCCGTCCGTAACGGGCTAGGGTTAATAAAACTCACGCTAATACGCGCGTTCTACTGGCTGCCGAGCGCAGCGAAGGCGGCATTGATTAGCTAAAATCGCATTATGTGGTATACACACTGTATGTGGTCAACACATCGTACTTAAATGCACCGTTCAAATTTCATTTTGCCCCCATTTTCGAAACAGAAGCCGTGGAACGCCACGTTACGCGAGGTACGCTGCGTGTATGCACGTTAGTTTACATTAGTAGCTAGCAAGTCACACATACACAGATAGTCCGAGGTTCCTGGGGCTGCTTAAGGGGTAGCTTATAACTTGCAGAATTTTATCCTGCAAGTAGGTAGCCGTGCTATGGGGATTTAGCTCCAGTGCCCTCTGGGTTCTTGGGGCTTTATCCCACCGCCCACTCTGCGCGAGAGCACATTTGGCACCTGGTCCATTGACCGCAAACCCGACAGCGAACCAGTTGAGCCGGTCGTTAGTGGTTATTGATGGGCACGCACATTGCGTGCGTGCAGTTGGTCAGGAGGGGTACCGTAACTGGCCTCTTTTAACCGACAGATGGGATGGGGGCTGTAATAGCCTATTAATAACCAGCCTTTGCAATTAACGGCCGCCTTTTTGGCAAAAGGATATCGCACCTCAAGCTACAGTACTATCCGGGGGCCCAACCCTGAAGATTCGACTGAACAATTTGCAAACTAAAACCGCTCCGGCCTCACGGCTCGTGACT